AGTTATTGATGCTGTCTTTTAATGTGTTGTATGTGTGTATGTGGGTGGGTGGATGGATGGACGGATGGATGGATGGGTGTTCGTATACATACATGTTTATCATCTTAAAATATATTAGAATTGTATAAATCGAAAAAAAAAAAACGAGACATTTTTCAGATGGTAGAGAAGATTTGTAGCTTAGGTAGATAATTTTTTTGATTAAGATCATGAACCGATTGATGTTAGACCACCATGGAGAACCTAGATATATTGGACAGTCGTTTCGTTCTATTGTGGTATACCTCAACAGTGAGTAACCATGATCCCTCTCGTGGGATTCGAACACAGAACATTCAGCCACACTCGCAAACACTTAGTTTCTAGACCAATGAGTAGGCATTCAACGGTGTTAATGTTGTCTAACCTCAACCAATCCACGAAATTGTGAGACTATCTTCCATATTACTGAGGTAAATACCTGTTTCTATTCAACACGGATTAGCTCCACTGATCACGGCTTCTCACTAGAACTCCAAGAAATCCCTCACGAAGCTGATCACTAGTGAGTACATGGTAATTATCAGTTGCGGAGACTATTTAGTTTTTGATTGAGATGATGAACTGATTGATGTTAAACTACCATTGAAAACCTGGAAGCACTGGATGGCAGTTTCGTTCTATTGTAGTACTCTTGAGTGGCAGTGCGTATCTACGATCGCTCTCGTGGAATTTGATGAAGTTTTGTTCTATGAACTGGATGATTTTGATTGTTGTGAGCTTTTTGATCATTGTTCTGAATGATATTATTAATACAAACTTCAGGTAGAAAAGAAGTGTATTCGAATTTCTACACAATATGACTACGAACTTATCTTGTACACCCCAAACTTGATTGATTATTGTGTTCTTATATCTCTTTGTAATAATATTTTCTTTAATTTATTTAAATTTAAATTAATGCATATTTTATGAGTAGTATCATTATCTTTAATAATATAAATGGTGGTAATAATTATGAGGATGTACATAGTTGTATTGAATTTGTTAGAATTACTTACTTACTCCTGTTAACCCTCATGAAGGAATATAGTCCCCCCACCATCACTATCCATCCAACCTTGTCCTGGGAAATTCTTTTCAGTTACTATTCATCCTTTTCATGTTTGTTTCCAATTCTCGACGTTATTATAATAGATCAAATGTGAAACCATTCACTGAATGTGATCTATGCAAGGATAATCAGTAGCTGAACTGGGATGAAATTATATATATATTGTCATGTGAACACTGAAACGTGAATATATCCAACTGATAAGTCCTTAGTAGAATGTTCTAGTTTTCATTGTTTTTAACCCTTTGTAAATATAAGCAAATATTAAGCTGCAATTTATATTATAACATCTTGGTATTCACAAAATTAGGTTCTTTTCCAAGTGAGTTTTGGGGATCTCACGTCTCCAACATTATTCCAACTTGAATTGATGCTCATTATGAAAAAGAAAATGGGTGTATTGCAAATATTAACAAATATTAACAATTTCCAGATTGTTTTTCATCTAATGGACATTAAACATGGGTAGAAAGCAATATTACTACATTTAATAGATTCTTGTCATAGAAATAATTTGAACAGATGTGATTACGTAAGAATGAAATATGTACACATTAACAAATATTAATCAATGGTTTAGAATTAAACAAAATGGCTGATAAGAAATTACAAATTTTACTAATTACTAATAGTCAAAACAATGTTAAGAAGTGTTCTGACTATTACTTACTTGCTTACACCTGTTAATCCTCGTAGAGAAGCATAGGCCATCAACCAGCATTCTAAATTAGATTGTTTCTTTGACATTCCTTTCCAGTTGTTTCTAGTTGCCATTCATCCTTTTCATGTCTTCTTCCAATTCTCAACTCAGTTGCTTTCCTATTTTCTGTTTCCTTTTAAAATTCCAAGTTAGCGCTTGTTTCGTGATGCAGTTTGATGACTTTCACCTGTAGTTCTTTTACATTTACTACCGGTTTCAAGCCCGGGTAAATGAGGAAGGTTTGAGCAATGAGGTCAGCGACCTCATCTCGTAGTAAAAAACAACCTTGCTAGAAAAAAAAAACACTAACCAGAATAAACAAATTCAAAATTAAAGGTGAATAGATTATCACAATGATAAAATATCCACTCATAGAATATTGAATACAATTAAACAAATTTTCAAATAGACCTTCTATTTAATAACTAGAATTTTATATCTAACCTTTGAATATTTACACATGACTGAAGTTTAGGATTTGTTTATTCATCGCTAATGTAATCACAAGTTGGAATAAAGGTGGGATTGTTTAGAGAGTGACTTTAAGTAACATTTTAAATTTGTGCTAAAAGCTTTTAGTAATCACATTTGTCATTAATCAGAATAATAAAATGGAATATTTAATTCCGCTATTAATCAATGTTCAACTTAGCTTGGATGACTTGGTGGTAATGCCGAGACAATCAGATATATATATATATATATATATATATATATATATATATATATATAGAGAGAGAGAGAGAGAGAGAGAGAGAGATTAAGCCCTCGCCCACGAGACCGATACGTCCTGGGTTCGAATCTCGCAAGGCGGGATCGTGGATGTACACCGTTAATGAGTCGAAACGATTAATAAGATAATGGACTAAATAATTAAAGCCTATAATATGGTTTTATGTCGTTTGGTAACTAAATTCATTATCTATATTGATGAGATACACACTGTTGAGGAGTCACGTATTAGTACGAAACAACGGTCGTTTTTCAATGGTGATATAACATTGATCCATTCATGATCCCAATTAAAATTTAACAATCTCCACAACCCTATACTGATGTACCAGTGAACACGATGTTATTATTATTATTATTATTATTATTATTATTATCAATTTTTATCCTCTCGATTTCTGTGATATAAGAAAAATCGGATGACAGTTATATCTGATGATTATCGTTATAATTTTGCAATTTTTCTGGTTGGATTATACTATAATTTGATCAAAAGATATATACGGGATCGTGGATACGAACTGCCGCTGAGGAGTCCCACAATAGGATGAAACGCCCTTCTAGTGCATTCAGGTTTTCCATGGTGGTCTAGCTTCAATTGACTTATGATCTCAATTATTAAATTACTAAAATCTCCACAAAACCCCTTCTCATATTAACCAACATATGCTCACTAGTGACTGGCTTCAAGAGGTATTTCCTGAAGTTCTAGTGACAAACCGTATCCAATGAAGTTGTGAGATAGTAACTCATTGAGGACAATGATGTACGATGGTGCAATTTCGTGAATTGATTCAAATTAGACATTAACACCATTTGGTGCCAGCTAGTTCAGTTGTCTAGAAGTCAATCTTTCGAGCACGAAAATGATAGGCCCTGGGTTAGAATTCCGCGGGACACAATCGTGAATGCTCACAGTTGAGAACGAAACAGTCGTCCAATGCTTTCAGGTTTTCTTTGGTGGTCTATCTACAATGAATTTATAATCTTAACTATCAAAATATATATCCATACATTATATTACATAAAATACATTTTAAAAAAATGTTCCCAGTTTCTCGAATTCTTCAATAAAATAATATATATCGAAATTATTGAATCTTACATAAATAATCTCGACTATTTAACCGAAAGTTCTTTTTACAAAAAAAAACAGTGTGAGTGTGAGTGTGTGTGAGAGAGAGAGACCGAGAGATAGAAGGAGAATACATAATGTCATTCCTTTTTTTTTAAAAATTTCTGATACATTTTACAAATTACACCACCATCTAGTAATACATATTTATTGGGTTAATATTTTTCATCACTCTCCCTTTTTATTATTTTTTTTTAAAAAAAATGTTTATTATTATTATTATTATTGAATAAACCAATCAAATTTCAGATTTATGTTATCCAATTCTTTTTACTCATTTGTGATTGGTTAATACAACAACAAAAAAATTTTTTGATTGCTGCATTTGTGGTTGACGTGCTCATTTTTGAAAAGCGAAAAAAATTTTTTCTAGTTTTTTCTCTCGTTTTTTTTTACAAATACGTGATTAAATGTTGTGTATTTGTTTTTTTTTTATTGTACGGCGGGGGGGGGCGGCGGAAGAAAGAGACTTGTATTTTTGATGGTAAAATTAAAAGATTTATTATATATTTAATAATCATTTTATTCCCCTTTAATTAATCGATAGATAGATGGACATATCTTTTATAGACATATTATATATCTATATACACAGGTAGCATATTGTAAGCCACGTGTGTTCAATTTATATATATATATGTATATGCATAAAAACAATACAAAAAAAATTTAGTCTCAGCTGAACTCATCATCTTTTTCCTAGACGTATCTATTAAGTATAGAATTAAAAAGTATGGAAGATAAACTACCTATCTAACCCCTGTCTAATATTATTACTATTATTAACAGTTAATAGTCACATAAGTCTTGTGTGTCAAGGTGATTTGTAAATAGACACACACACATACACATACATATGTATGTATGTGTATATATATATATATTTAAACACACAGCTCTAGGGCACAAAATATATCATTGGTTTATATGTTCTACCTCTAAACTTCCCATCTGTCAACTATAAATTGTCAAATCACACGATTATTTCCTCATTTTAACGTGTAACGTCTAGTCTTGAGTGGTTTTTTGTCACTCAATCAAGAAATAACGAAAGAAGAAGAAGACGAAGAAGTAGAATAAATAAAATCAGAACAGATATTCACATACATTTATATATCAATGTATATAGATGTATTTAATTCCATGTCTAATATATAATATCATCACTTAAATGTTCTAATATAATCTTCACTTCATTCCAAGAAATATATATATATTGTATTCACTCAATAATTTACCACTGTGCTTTCAGTGAATAAACAATTACATACATATATAATATCTATCTATATATAATAATATATTGAACAGAGTAATAAAATAAACAAATAACTATGTGGATGAAAGATTGTGATCAATGTTCTACAGCAAAACTTGGAGGTTTACAAGTATGGATGCAACATTTAACAGATGAACATGCAATACCAACTGAATGGCCTAGTGATAGAGCTTCAAAATTAACTGGTCCTAATGCATTACGTCCATATACAACAATAGCTGAATCAAAAAAGAAACGTAGAAAAGATAGTATACCAAGACCATTGAATAGTTTTATGGTAAGTAATTATAAATAATATGTATTTATATAACTTAATATATATTTATTTAAGTTTTAGGGATTCTAATGTTAAATGTTGATATTTTCTATGAGAATGAACATAGTTAATTATCTTAGTACCTGTTTCGATTTTGGCACCCGGGCAGTATCACAGCCCTCACATATATCAAATGAGATTTGTGTATTTGGTGCATCCTTGTACCAATATCTATGTGTTAAAATAAAATAAATAAATAATTATCTTAGTAAGATGATTAGACTAAAGTTGGGAATAGGGATAGTAAAATTTAATCATTTCCTTTATTGCATAATTGGTAATCATTACCTTTATCACTTCTTATTTAATAGAGTGAATACAGATAGTCTCCAAGGGATATTTTTTAATGAAAATCATATTTTTATAGTTTAACTTATGAACTGATCTTAGTCAAACCGATATTAGAAACCACAATGTATTGGATAATTGCTTTACCTTAATATGAGACTCCTGAATAACGTCTATCTATAATGCCTATATAAGAAATCGAACTTAGGATCTTCATACTCTCATGTGAATGCCTAACCTGTAGATCACTGAATAGGCATCTAATAATACTTTCTAATGATTTAACTAAGATCAATTCATAATTTAAAATATGACAATTCTATAATCTCCATAAAACTCTATACGAATAAGACTTATTATATATGTAAAATTGTCGATATTTTAACTCAATACTACAACAGTGTACTTTTACAACAATATATGTTCAACTCATTTGCATAACTGTTCTCAATGAAATCTATTCAGCTCTTTTTTTTTTTTTTTGTTTGGTTACTTAATGACATTCATATGTCAATTAGGTAATACTTACTATGAATATAATCGTCATCATCATCATCATAAATGTCATTGTATAGTTTATTATTATAATGTTAACTAGGTATTTTAATGATTAATTGAATCACATTTAATATTGATAAAATAGTAGTCAAGACATTTTGTAACTAACATGAATTAATATGATAAATAAGTAGATTATATTCATTAAAGATTCATCTCATTTAAGGGTACCACAAAAACAAATAAAACAACAATAAAAAGTTCTAGACAACTTTTCAGTCCAGTCATTGAACACCTTCTATAAGATGAACACATTCGACCTAATTAGAGAAATTATAATTTTGACTTGTTAATTGAATGTTGTCTAGATTTATATATAACAATTCTATGTGGATCATAACTGACGAAAACACTTCAGTGATTCAATAATGTTAATATGAGTTAATGAAAACTTGTTGATAGTTTTATAATCTTTGCTACTGATCTTATTGATAACTAATGTTAGGATTATAGAATGAAGCAATGTTAAAGTTAGCTCATGAGTGTTAGGTAAATATGAATTATTCATCTCATATCCATACTCAATCATCGCCAATTTCGATTTGCAGTATAGACTGAAATTGGAATAAGTTGGAAGAAAGCTAATGAGATTAAAATCAAACACATGGTATCAGTTTATGTCGTCATTGACCAATGGTTTGATATATATTAATAAGTGAAAACTATCTGGTAGGGTCTTGTGCTAGAACCGCTTTTAGTAGTTAAGGATGCTGAGTAACTTGAATTAGAATTCATTACAATGATGCCGATTCATCCAATTATTATCTTATCTTAGAGCCTGAAATTTAAAAAGTAAAGTCTTTTTTCTCTCTTCGTAATCTCCGTATCTAATTTTTTTTTAAATCGCTGATACTTCAACTGCAACTATTACTGTATGGGTTTTCATCTTCATCATTTTATGTCATAATGCAGATATAACTCAATAACTTGAACCCTTCCAGTTGTGCACTCAATCTTACGTTACTTATGATTGATTGACTGAATGATAGCATATGATTTATCAACCTCAGTAGCATACTTATTTAATATTCACTTGGTATTGTTTATTTGAATATTCCCATTAATGTTTAAGACTGTAATTCATCAATGTCTTATTGGCATATGTTCATACTATGCTTATTACCTCGATATTGCCTTAATTCACAAACATTATTAGTAAAGATGGATAATGGCTAGCAGGGAAATCTAGAACACGCTTTTCGGCCTATTTGAGATAGTATCACTCTGAGACTCGAACCCAGAGTGAACATCAAACACTGAGATGTAGGTACATCCAGCTGACGAGTCCCAAACAAGATAAAACTCACGTTAAGTTGAATTCCACTGTTAACCGCTATTCAGCTTTGCTTACATTACTTCTCTTGTTTTAAATTATTTCATACTTTTCAATGTTAAATGTTATTTTAACACATTAACTTTTAAATGTGTAATATCATATTACTATGTTTATTCCCAGTCCTAAGTTATTAATGATTGATAAGGTAAACCATCAAATTTTATTTGTTATAGTCATTTACTTAAAGATGAAATTTAGGTTTGAGAAAAGATCCTTTTTCTAGGGTATGACAAATAATTAAGTTGATCTAAATGATCATATTTCACATTATAACCATAGAGAATAAATCAAGATTTTGATAGATAATAAATTGAGTATAAAATGATGACTAAACTTAAGATAAACCGGTATAAGAGAGATTCATAGGATCATATATTTGGTTATGGAAGGCTAGTATCTTACTATGCATTTGCCTAAACTTGAAGTAAATAGAAAACAATTTGAAGCTGGGAGAGTTGAATATAATTATAGATACAGTGATCTTGAATGCTGTTAAAGGTATGATAGTAATTATCACTTCCTAATCACCTATACCGTTGAAGGGTTCTCTTAAAGGTACCTAAAGAAAGAAATTGGTTTAGAGTTGATCATAGTGAACATCTTAAACACCAATTCATCACACTAAAACCATTTAACAGTTTTTATACAAAACAAAAATGAGAATTCCTAAGAATATTTTTTTAAAATTTCAATGGTTGAGATCATAAGTCTATTAATGCTAGACCACCATGAATATGTTACTCAATTTCGTGAATTGGTTGAAGTAAGACATTAACACCTTTGGATTTCGGTCAGCTCAGTCGTCTAGTGGTTAAGCCCTCGAGTGTGATACTGATAAATCCTGGGTTCGAATCTAGCGAGGCGAGATCGTGGATACATACTACTAAAGAATCCTACAATAGGACGAAACGGCCGTCCAGTGCTTCCAGGTTTTCCATGGTGGTCTAGTTTCAATTGACTCAACTAGTGAAATTACTATCATATCCACAAAAACCCTTCTGATAAGAATATATTTTTTAATTAAATCAATTTTTTCATTCACACTATCAGTTGAATAAACAAGTTTTTTTTTCCTATTTATAAAATAATTTATTGATCTGGATAAATTAAAATCAATGTTCCCATTGATGATGATAATGATGATGAGGAGATCTTATTCCCTCCCTCCATTTTTTTTCTTCGCGTTTAATGAAAAGTCACACATAAAAAAAAGCAAAACAACAACACCAAAAACATTATTTCTCCCCTCCTTTATTATTATTATTATTATTATTTTTATTATCATAGTCGTCAGTCGTCTTGCAGTTATTAGTGTTATTCCCTTATTCCCATGAAAACAACATAGCAACTAATTTTCATTTCCATCCTATTGATTTAAAAAATAAAAAAATTTTTTTCTTCGCTTACATCATTCATCAAGTATCCTGATGCTGTTGTTGTTGTTGTCGTTGTCGTGTTGGTTTTTTTTATTTTAATTTTGTTTTTCAATCTCAATATTTAAAATCATACTTAAGTGAATTTTATTTTATAATCGATATTATTGAATTTAATTACTTAATCAATCAATCATTCAATCAATTAATTATTTATTTACTCATCTACTCACGTAAATATAAACATGAGTGTATATGGACGGATGTCAGTCAGTCAGTCAGTCAGTCAGTCAGCTACAACGTAGAACTAGGCACATATATGTATCAGTCCAAGTTGCCATATCTCAGTCAGTCAGTCAGCTACAACATAGGACCAGGCACGTATATGCATCGGTCCAAGTTGCCATACCGCATTAGCACAACAAGATGAACACCGGATTCACAGGAGTGGTTAAGTCAATGGTGGTAATATATAAGGGAAAGATTGCATATAAGGATATAGTACAGGAAGATAGAATTAGTTGGTAGAAAGAAAGATATGAAGTGATTTTAATCTCATCGTTTAAAGGAAGACAGAGAGTGTATACACATATGCCATTGTGATCGATTGTGAGTCATGTCACCAAGAATCTCCAATCATTGGTTACGATAGTCACACGAACCGCAACCAAGTAGTCTGCATCTACCAACATGGTTCAGACTAGAAGTTAGTGACTTCAAGCACTGATACCACGTTTTGGCTTGGCCGCCCATAAACGGATGTATATATAGATTAATTAATTGATTTACGCCTGTTACTCCTCGTGGAGGAGCATAGCCCACCCACTAGAACTTTCTATCCAACCTTTTATTGAGTAATACTTTCCAGCTCTTGTCAGTTGTTATTTATCCTTTTTCATATCTGTTTCTATTTCTTAACGTAATTGTATTCTTTGGTTTTCCTGTTTTTCACTTCCCTTCAGGATTTCAAGTTAGAGCTTAAGGAAATAAATTGATTATTGTTTTATTAAAACATTAATTATTTCTCAAGTATATGTCTCTTATGTAATCAACTGTTGTTTTTGTTTTTAGAATTTAGTTCAAATAGTTTTGAACGAGGTTATATTGATGATAGATTTTCGATAAGAATGTTAATCAGTTCTCAATAATGACTTACTTTAAGATGTACGTAAAGTTTTAATGAGAAGTTATTAGAATGATTGATGTAATATTCATCATAGATAAGCCTTCACTGTGAGAGTTAAAAGTCATGAATTCGATCTTTGATAGGATTATGAGTATATGCCCCCAAATGCCCTGGTACAGCTGAGAGTGGGAAGAGTCCGCTCACCCTCTCGAAAACCTCTTACACGGTCACGCGTATATAGCCTCTGCCAGGAAAGTCCTACTCACTGCCTTCTCGAAGC